TAACTCATTCACTGTCAGAATACATTTGTATTTATTAATTTTAAACCTACCTATTAGTTTTTTTTAAATTTTTGCTCGTTATAGCATGTCACAAATGGTCAATAATCAATATATAGCTTATTTGTGGCAGGACTATAAAAATTCTTTACTTGTCGGAACCTGTAATATCTGGAATAATTGTGCTTACGCTGTCTTGAGTTTTAACCATGCCCAGTAGCTTCAATAAATGCCTGACGCCAGATTGTGCAAATTGGGCAAGGATACAAACGAGTACAAAGTCTGCAAGTATGAAGTTTTTCTTCATAAACCTGATTATTAAAGCCAAATGAATTGCCGAATTATCGAGCTCTAAGCTTGATGCCGCTATTAAAGCAGCCAAGGTAGACAAATCAAGAATACTAGAGAGCGAAAGAAGTACTACAATCTCGAAAACGAACTCGAAATCTTCCAGGCTACAGGTGAAAAAACACATAATATCTGTCTTCTCTTAAATGCATTAAACACTATTCCAATCACATCAATTGAATCGGAAAGGGCATTCTCGGTGGCAAGACTTTTCATTACTAAAATAAGAATTAGAGTGAGTTATCGGAGTATTGACCATCTTTGCTTTTTAAAATCTTATAAAAGTTTGCAATATTTTGTATTATATTTTATTTAAAAAACGAAAATTACCTTCTAAATTAGAAGTTCATTTTTTTAATTTTTAACTCAATTCAAAACATTTTTTTTGTTGTTGTTGTATGCAGTTTCCAGCAAACTTTAATTAATTTTTTTCTATTTGTGAAAATTTCTACGTTATTTAAAGGTAATTTTTATTATAGGCCTATAGACCTTACACAACATTATTAATATGATTTTGGAGGTTACAGAACTTTAAAATTACTTTTAAAAATGGAAAATAATTATATAATTTGATTTCAAGATATTTTGTATACCTTAAAAATAATTAATTCTATCCCGGGAAACAGTTCACCTTTATCCCGGGATCCCGGGACAAGCAAAAGAACGGGAAATGAGAAACCCTAATTATAAATGTAGTTATTTCATATTTGTTAAATTGGTAAATTTAATGAATATTTGTACATTCTGAGTCATTAAAAATAAACTTTTTCCTGTCACGTGTATTATAATCTTTTGGTTTCGCTACATGGGTGTCAGGTACGTGGAAAAGCAATCTTCAAAAGCTGATAGCAGTCATTCGGGAAATACTGCATTTTGAATTCATTGGACGGATCGGAGGACGATGCTTTGCGGAGTAAGAGCGAAAGAGAATCGTAACGAAGCTTCGGAGGGCGAGTCCAAGTAGACGTCAAGAAAACATGGTTGTTTGCCTTAATACGTGAATTTGATGATGATTTATTTGTGATTAAACAAAATAAAATTTTGTTTATTTTGATCTTCAAAGTCGCACCTCGTCCTACATGCGAGATCGTTTTTACGCGAGTAATTACGGTATTTTACTAGCGCGTAAGACGTTTATAACGTTTATTCAAAGAAAAATACACAATGTACATGGTTAAGGAGCGTGAATCATCGTCATCTTTTTTCTAGCACGGAATGAAGCAACCTGGAATGCGAATTCGATTTGCAGAAAACAAAAAACTCACAGATAATAGCATATGGAGCATGCGCACAATTCGGGACTTTCCCTCTCCTCGACACTCGTTTGCTCGTTAAGTGAGTCAGTTAAAATGATTTGCTCGTTAAGCGAATTTCCACTGTATATAATGTAGTCGACTCATGTGCGGAGCAAACTCTATCGATAAGGCCCAAGATAGCCGATGCCCAAAAGAATCCCGGGATCGTGTCCTGACCTTGTTGTCACGTTTAACTGCTGCCAGCGCTCCTACCGGTCGGGGTGTACACTAATGCTTGTACACCAACCAATCAAAGCATCGCGCGTTGCGATCGGTTACATATTTGAATTTTCGTACGTTACAGAGTTTCCTTCGGTCGTTAGCGGCGAAAAAAGCAATAAATTGCGGTATGGCCTGGGACTGCAGAAACTGTGTGGAAATTCAGAATTACGGTAATTAAATAAAGTAATTTTTTTTAATGCAGAAGACGTGGTTGCTGTATCTTCAAATTCTGTGTATTTGCAATGCAAACAATAATTTTGGTAGACGATCAAACAGCAATTAGTTAGAAAACGTTACGGTTTATTTAAAATACTTATTTAATTCAGATGCATTTCGGGTTGGCTTGTAATTTTAACAGCATTGAAGAGGGGCTTGTATTCCCAACCCCTCTTCAATGCTGTTAAAATTACAAAAAACAAGGTGAGTTTCACGACATTGGTAAGTAGAATTTAACATAAACGCGGGTTGACAATAACATAAAAACCTTACATGTTATATAATGGTACACAATAGACATGTGTGACAATATTTTTATTACATAGTTGTATGACTATTTCCTATAATATGAAAAAAGTAAAGAGCGTGGCTGTTTAACACATCATTTACATGAAAAATATATAACATAGATTATTAATTTCAAAATATCTATAAACATTTACATTTTTAGTTAAAATGTATTATTCCCGATAAAAAAATGGAACAGAGTACAAATTGACAACTGGTGTTATCCGGTGTTCACCGAGTAACAGTATACCGACAAGTAATGTTATTTAAACCATTCCTAACATTCCGTACAAGGGGGTGTGCTTTAAACAATCTTTAACGCGTGGAGGCGCTCTCTATTAGTTTATACCATTGGGGTCAGTAGTATAATAATGTCTGTTCTGCCCCCAAAATTTAAAGTCTATAAAATGAAATGAATTTAATAAAAATCAATAGTAAAATTCACTGAATTTAAACATCTTGTTGATTCCTAGTGTTATTTATCTGAAGGGCGACGAGTCGCGAAACCGTAAGGACGTGAATTCCATGTGCTCTGCTTTCGATCTTCGCAACGACGTTCCAACTCAACAATCGGTGGAGTATAGTATATCGTTGGATACGTCTCATCGAGTTCTACAGATTGACGTCTTATTTTCCGGATCGGTTTAACGGCTCAGAAGGTACGGCCTCCGGAAGATCAAGGAACTCCGGCCGCCATTTCCGGGTAATTTCCGCCGGTAAGTGGACTTATCTTACATCGGTTGAAAGAGGATTCTATGCTGGTTAAAACGACGTCTTTAGTTTTAAGATCCGGCGAGCCGTTTCAGTTTTATTGGGACCGGAATCTGTTTCACTTCGGGCCGTCGTGCGGGCTTTTCGGGCCTTCGGAGCGGTCGATCTTAAGGTGTTCCTTAGTTCGTGTATACAGCTACCTGTGGCGGAATTTTCATCTTGTTACGGCTATTAGTTGTCAAGTTACGTCCATTTTAAGTTTGAACCAAGACAAAGGGTCTAAGGTCATTGGCCTTGCCACGTGCTCATCCTCTAACTGACCCAAATTCGGCGGTGTTTTCGGCTGTCTTTGGGGGTCGTGTTGGGAGCACCGTGTAGTGTGATACATCATTTGACTCACAAAAAATCACTGATTTCTGCTATACCTCCCATTCTATACCCTCTAATCATGGAAGAAGGAACGGAGGACTTAACTGTTTCTAATAATAGTTTCATCGAAGAGGATCTCTTAAACACTATCAACACTCAACTGGAAGTGATTTTTACCAACATTCCGTTGAACTCGAGCGTAACGGTAAAAACTAAGGAAAGGACAGCCGTCAAAGAGGCTGCCGTAAAGATGCATGCGGCCGCGAATCAGATATTCGGCATGGTGCTGGAACTTAGGGAAAGGGTAAAGGCAATGGCTAACCTAAACAACCAACCGGTCAAGGAATCATACGCAACAATAGTGAAACGGAAGCAGAATTTAATCAGCAGCACTACAAAGTTAATCGCCGAAAAATCTGCGGCATTGGAAGGGGTTAAAAACCCCAAGAATAGCGGTCACGAGATAATCATTACTGCAATTAAACATCCAGACAAGCCGGTCCCCATCCCAGAGGAGACTCTGGATCTCCTGCAAAACCATGTAGACCCCAAAAAACTGGGAATTAAGATTAAAGCAATCCGGCCACTCCCGGAAGGGGATCTTAAGATCCAAGTACTGGATGATAAGGATCTACAAATCTTTAAAAGGGCCGTACAGGAGGAGGAAGCCCTGGTAGATAAAGTCAGGATAACAGAGAGGAAAAAGAGATTTCCGAAGGTAATCATGTTTAATGTGCCGGAAGAGTTAGAGGAAGGGGAACTGCTCAGAGACATATATAACCAGAACACACGAATACAGGAAAATGTAACGGAGGAGGAATTCACAAACAGCTCAGCTGTATCGCACAGCTTTCGCCCGAAGCAAANTAATATATAATTATATGTACAGTACCTAATTTATATATAATTTATATATAATACTGTACAGACTATAGCAAACTCAATTTAGCCGCTCCGTAGCGTGGCGCAGGGTCGGAGGAAAGTAGTTCGGCTGCTCATCCACTATTGGTCCAGATTCTATCAATCTTGTCGCGAAGCCAGTCGGCGACAATGTTTTAGAAGCTCCTTTATACGTATGTTGCTACAATTTTTTCGCTACGTTATAGGAATTGTCGTTACAGGAACGCACGTTATAGGGAGGTCGACTGTATCTAAATTTTGAAATCGAGATATAGCATCCCAATCCACTTTATTTGCATATTATTGAATAAATTTCGAAGATAATGTTTGATGTGTAGAGATGAGTTTCCAATTAACCTTATCCTCATGTTGTCTTATAAAATTTCCAGAGAGACTTTGGTGTTCTGATATTTTTTCCAATTAACTCTATCTTTAAATTCATTAATAAAAAAATTCAGACAATTTTTGATTATGAGATATTGAATCCCAATTAACTTTTTCTTTAAATTCTCTTATGAAACGTTCAGATAACTTTTGATATATAGAAATCAACTCCCAGTTTACTTCATCTTTCAATTCTCTTATTAGATCTGTTAAATTCCCTCGTTTTGACAAATTATTCCAATTGATAGCACACATTATTCTTCAGTCCATTTATATAAGAAAAAATTTATGTCCTAATGCTAATGTATTAATTCCATCCTCCAATATATATCTCTTATCATTATGTGGTGATAACGCCTTCTTGTTTACTTTTATTGAATAAAGTTTATGTTTCTTGCTTCTAATTACATTCATTGTTCGGGAATGCTCTATTTTATTAAACAAACAGTCTTTATAAACATCAAATGATGTCCTATTTTTAACAACACATTTCTTTACTCCTTTTGATTTCTTTGTAACCTGAACTTCTACTTTTAAGGCATACATTTTTGCTCTTAAACCAACAAATTCTCTCATTATTTTTCCATTATTTTCATCCTTCATTTTGCCTAACCCCTTCTTATTTTCTCTCGGTATACAATATTGATTATTCTCACGATAATCAGATGTATCAAAGTAATCGATCATTTCCTTCATGTCTTGATAAATATCATCTGGTTTTATATCATATATATAACTGTCAGTATCCTGATATAACAGTTTTATGTTATCTCCATATTTAGATTTCATCACATTATAATGAAAATCATACATCAAATGCTTCGAAAGATCTAATATACTCATTTCCACATAGATGGGTTTATTAAAGACTATTTTTTTTTCTTATACATGTGAATAACACATAGGTTTTCGGTAAATATAGTTCGATGTTTAAAGTTCGGCTTAGCGATTAATTTTTCTACTTTTTTTAGCGTCACAACCAGGGCTGTGGACTCGCGTAAAAATCTACCGACTCCAACTCCGACTTTTCCTTACCAATCCGACTCCGACTCCGACTCCGGCTAAAACACCAAAACTCCACAATCCTGCCAGGGCTGTGGAGTCGCGTAAAAATCTACCGACTCCAACTCCGACTTTTCCTTACCAATCCGACTCCGACTCCGACTCCGGCTAAAACACCAAAACTCCACGACTCCGACTCCGGCTAAAACACCAAAACTCCACGACTCCGACTCCGACTCCGACTCCACAGCCCTGGTCACAACATAATCTTATGTCAACACGATTTCTTATGTTTTCCATTGTCTTACCATACGGAGAGTTATTCATTAGTTTAAAAAAGTCCTTTTTGAAATCATTAGTTGCTTTAGTTCTCATTTCTGTATTCAGATCTATGTATTTCTTTAACCAATCTGATTGCTTGAATTCTAATACTCTATGTATCTTTTCGAGTTTCATCGCCATTTTTAAATATTGTTTAAGATTTCTATAATGAAGCGCACACTTCTTTTTATCATATAATGTGGTTAATAATTTAGATTGCTTTGATCCATCTGCTATTCTGTTCTCTGGAGCTAAAGGTAGATCAGAATGATAATCATGTTATTCTTTGGGATATTCCAGATCAACTTCTAATATATATCCTTTTTCATTGTCATCAGGAATATTCATGAAGAAATCAATATTATTTTCCTCACACCATTCAAATCCTCCATAAGGTAAATATTGACTCATAGCCCATCCATATAAATTATTAGCATCTAGATACATCTAGTAGCATAGCGTAGTGGGGGCGGCAGGGGCGGCCCGCCCCGGGCGGCACTTTTTAGGGGGCGGCAAAATTTCACAATAAATAATAATATTTTGTAAGAATTTGAACCATTTTATTTCATATTTTCGTCCGCCTACGATTCGAACCGATTGAAATGAGCACGGAATAGTGTTACCATCCGGACAGTCTGAGAATCGACTCACCGTCCGAGCGCTACCTGTCGACCTCTTTTTTTTCGCTTATACGATTTATTCGTATATATAAATATATATACACACCTTCAATATCCAATAGAGCTAGGTCACTTACATTACTCTTACCCAAGTCTCCCTAGTCGTTAACTGTAACTGATTTAGAACCGGCATCGTAATGTTACCAATAGCAGCGTGATAAGTCTCTGTAATCTCTACTACATTATTTGAGATATCTTTCAACAATTTTCAAGACAAGCTTTTTTATAATGTTTAAAACTATTATATTGCTAAATATTTTAAATGAAAGTTTTGTACATAGTGTTCTGAGTATAATGTATCTGTTTAATAAATAAGTAATGGTAAAATAAGTAGATACATTTGCATTTACTGTTTTATTACATACCGTGTTTTCCCGAAAATAAGACCTCCGCCTGAAAGTAAGACCTAGCAAAGTTTTTTTTAGTCGTAACGGTCATCGACAGATGGTTGAATGTGGCTGTCGGCTTTTTGAAAATACTGTACAGCCACTGATTGGTCAGCAGACAATCACGCCACACGGCATGATTTGCATAAGACTATGGCTTGGGAATCAAAGATTTGCATAACGTTACGGCTGGTGATGGCTAATTGGTCGGCCGGGAATCCCGCTCCATCATATTTGCATAGTGCTACGGTTCAGTAAGCACTAATTGGTCATCGAGCCCGATGTCGACGCTATGAAAAGGTTAAGTTGAAGCGCGAGTGGGAAGTCCACTCCAGCAGGGAACTTCGTAAGTTCTCTGATGAGGCGTGATTGTAAGGCTCATCAATGGCCTAGCCCGGTCTTTCGGTCGGCCGATGCTGGCTATTTTTGTGAATGGTCGCTACTTGCTTGGCACTTGGGCTGGGGGACTTGTGTCCCATCCATTAGGGGTGCTGTACAGGAGTAGTCGTACCGGATGCCAGATCGGTTTTACTGGTTGAGGCGTTCAATAAACTTTATCGACGACGTCGACACGACCGGATATACGTCATTCTCGTTTAAGTTAGAATTGGGAATTTTTTTGTTCAACAGTAAGACCCTGTACACACTAGGCGTTTCTCAACGCGCGTTTAACGCCGAGCTAACGCGCGTTAGCTCGGCGTTCGACGAGCGTTAGTTCGGCGTTTAGCACTGGCGCAGTTTGGAAATGGACGAGAAAGTAATTGATTGTGTGTGCTCCTCCATCGTCGCTATAAGGTAGCACATATATCTCAAAACGCCCGTAAAGTGCCCGCAAAACGCGCGTTTTAACAAAAATCTATAAACGCGCGCTTGACGTTTGAGTGTGTACGGCTACATAGAACTCTTGGTTCTTTAAAACGCGCGTTGAAAAACGCCTAGTGTGTACAGGGCTTTCAACGCGCGTTTTAAAGAACCAAGAGTTCTATGTAGCCGTACACACTCAAACGCCAAGCGCGCGTTAAACGCGCGTTTATAGATTTTTGTTAAAACGCGCGTTTTGCGAGCGCTTTACGGGTGCTTTGAGATATATGTGCTGCCTTATAGTGACGATGGAGGAGCACACACAATCAATTACTTTCTCGTTCATTTCCAAACTGAGCCAGTGCTAAACGCCGAACTAACGCTCGTCGAACGCCGAGCTAACGCGCGTTAGCTCGGCGTTAAACGTGCGTTGAAAAACGCCTAGTGTGTACAGGGCCTAAATGTGAATTCTTCTTCATGGAAAAATAAGACATCCCCTGAAAATAAGACCTAGCGCATCTTTAAGAGCAAAAATTAATATAAGACACTGTCTTATTTTCAGGGAAACACGGTATGCATGACAATATAATTAGGAAAACCATAGCTTATCCTTATACATTTAAATAGCCATAGAAATTTAATTCAGATAAAGACAAACATTTTTAAAAATAATTAATTAACTTTAACACTACATAAAGTGTGCTAAATAATTTTACTTGATTTAGTATAGTGAGAAATAATATTTAGGATGAAATAGTTTATATTTTTGACACCAGAAATTACATTTCTTATGACACTCCCATTGGCTCTACATACTGTATTTTGGTAATTTATATATCAAAAGTAGAATATGAACGAAGATTTATTGATGAATGTGATTTATGAAGATTTATTATAGAATATGAATGGAGAGTTATTTTACCATTATTTATTTTACCACTACTTATTTTACCATAACTACACCTGTCCTTTGTTTATATAGGCAAAACATCACTAACATGTCTTTCTTTTAGAATCTGTATCATCACTAATTACTATTAATATCTAATAATACTGTCTGAACTCCTGCATTCTACATTTACCTATTTTATATGTCAACCTCTAACTCATCATCCTCTAAGTCATTATGTGTCTGTAAATATGTTGAATATGTTGTCTAAATAGTTTGAATTTCCTTTTTTTTTCTTCTAATAGCCTATATTTGAAATCCAATAACTAAATCTCCTGAATTTTAATCCCCCTCTCTAACTTGTTTCTAACTTTTTTGGTTTAACTATAATCTTTCTCTATCTCATTCATAAACACAATATAAATTGTGAATAAATATATTATAGCGCTTTTCTCACTGCAAACTACAATAATTCACCTAGTATTAATCTATATATACACTCACTGCCAAAAGTTAAGCACAGAGCAATAAACTGCAAAAAAATTGACAAATACAGCTATGATTGACACGAAATTCAGCAGGACAGTAGCAAATATGTTTATGCATAAAACAACACAAAGAATTAAATAGAAAAATGAAAACAATATTGAATTTTCATAAAGTATAAGATTAAATCATATTGGAATCATTAACAAAACGATGTTTAAATCCAAAACAAATAAACAAAACCGACATTAATAGGGTAAATGGTCACCCCTTATCCTTACACAAAGTTTACAGTGTGTAACCATGCTTTCCATGAGATGATCAACCACTCCAGAGTCAAATAAGTGGTATTCCTCCTGTAGAGCAGTTTGCAACTCTGTGAGAGTAGCAGGGGGGAAACGCACACACAGCACGGCCGAGGGCATCCCAAAGATTCTCAATGGGATTGAGGTCTGACGAATACGCTGGCCAATCCATATGCACGATTCCCTCATTCTCGAGGTAGTCGTCGACGAGGGCAGCTCTATGGGGTCGTGCGTTATCATCCATTAAAACAAAAGCAGGACCAACTGCTGCAGCATACAATTTCACAATGGGTTCGAGGACTTCATCCCGATACCAGACAGTCGTCACAGAACCCCCTCGATAGATGTGCAGGTCGGTGCAATATCCCAACGAAATGCCTGCCCACACCATAATGCTTCCACCTCGGAATGCGTGATGCTCGATGATGTTCTGGAGTCAATTGTGTGTGCCTTTTTCTTTCCATACTCTTACACGTTTGTCATCTGGCTCTAGGGAAAATTGTGACTCATCCGTGAACATAACGTGCCCCAATCAGACACAGTCCAATTCACATGTTGCCGACACCACTTTAATCATGTGCCTCTGGATTGGACGGATAGTGGGACACAAACTCATGGTACCCAGGCGTAGAGTCCATTCATGTGTAGTCTTCGTGCGCAGTAGTAGCAGATATCGTTTTACCAATGGCTGCTGCAACCATCGATGTCACACGTGTAGAGGTTGCTCTTCGATTCCGCTTGGCTACAAGAGCAATATAGCGATCTTCTGCAGGGGTCGTAACTCTTGGGTGACCGGCCACAGGTCTTCGGACAACTGTTTGGCTTGTTTGGAATTGTTTTCATAACCGTGAAATGACGGAATGATGAACGCTGAAGAAAAGAGCAACATCTGTGATTGATTGTCCTGTTTCAAGGCATCCCACACACTGCCAGCGCTCACTGTCTGTTATTCGTCTTCTGGAAGTCATAGAAACACGTCAGTCATGCACAGTAATTGTACAACAGTTCTCCACACTTTTTCTCGGCACTTACATGCAACTCCTCTCACACTTCAGAAGGCTGGCTTCTTATATGA